TGTGTGTGTGTGTGTTTGTGTGTATGTGTGTGTGAGTGTGTGTGTGTGTGTGTGTGTGTATGTGTGTGTGTGTGTGTTTGTGTGTGAGTGCTTATGCGTGTTTGAATGGGATATGAAGCTTTTTGGCTCGACACACAGGCCAGGACTCATCTAGAAAAGAGATAGATATATCTATCAGGGTTAACTCAGATTACATTGGTCTGTATTGGAACGACTTTTGACAGTGCGGAACTCTCATTATTATGCGTAACATGGCATTTGGCAGTGTAGCTTTATTTAGCCTTCGCAATTGCATTCTCTTTGGCAGTCACTGACAAAGGCAGTGAGTTTGGAGTTTGGACTGTGGTCTTTCATTTCGCATATTCATTCACTTATAAGAAGCCGCTAGGAAATAGCATCATAAACCAGCATTAACGGCGGGCAATTAAAACAGTTCATTATCTTGAAGCTGTGTCATTTAGCAGAACAGTTTTAGTTGATATGGTAGGAGCAGTACCAAAAAAGCGATTCGCCGAAATATTGTTCACCTAACTGATGCTATGAAAGGAAATAATTGTTCTCGTAAAACCATGATTTCAACTCCTGTTTCATCTTTCTTTAATGTACCGTACATACAGCTCTTCAGAAAGACAAATAGCTTATAGATAATATCTAATTCATAGACATATACTCCTTGGCAATGCAATGTCATGACCCCTAATCTTCGCTCTCATAGTTTAGTTTAGTTTAGTAAGAATTTTACAGCACTTGCAGCTGCATAAGGTCATCTGAGCGCGCGCTTCTCTCTCTTTTAAGTCTACCCCATCAATATAGACATCATCATACTTCTGAGAATGAATCACTTTTGAGACAAAACATTCACCCCTGTTTCATACGAATGCTTCAATACCCCTTCATTAAAAAAAATTGTTGTGGTCAGCTTGTCTCAATTATTTGAATTGTGTCTGTGGGGACGCACAACGTTTTCAACTACGGGTACATGGCCAGAATCTAAAATATAACACGGTCAAAACTCTATACCAGATTTCATTTCACCACAACAGCGACCCACGTTGCCATAAGAATAGGAATAGGAGTAGTAGGAACTTTTTTGTATAGCTATTAAAACGTTCTTTAAAATACAAGTACAAGTGCATATTGACCACTGATATTAAAATGTTAAAAGCGTCATTGCAACACAAAAGTGGCTCGACAGAGACGGGAGACCTGAATGTGCGCACTAGGTCAAATAGGCTCCCAGATGGAGGGTTCAAGTTGCCTTCGATACCAAACCTACATCATTGTCTTCTCTGTACCTCGCATAAATTAAATCCAGAGAGTTTTAACCGGAGTGATTTTCGAATAGCCAACCAGATTGTCTTACAGTAGAATTGTTATTCTAAAGGAGGATTGACATTTTGTGCACCAAAAATATCATTTTAACTATGTAGGCCTAGTGACAGTAAGATGTTGAAGTTCCTTACACTCACTGGGCTATTTGTCGCTCAGCGTAACCAAGTTCACATTGAATCAGCTGGTCACAAAGACTTATACAGAATCGATCTCTCAGACTGCGCTTCATTCTACAGCCTCAAAATACTATGCAGCTTGCATTGACACAGACGTGGAAGTTAACATACAGATTGCATCTAGCAAGGAAGTTTGGAATAGTTCTTTGGCCCTGTGTCGTTATCACAGATACAGAAAAGGGGCAGAAGGTGCAGCTATAGAATTTAGAGGTTGTCACTCAAGAAGGTAAATCGAAAGTGGCAACTTGTCATATTTAAGTTTGAGTCCAAGGGTGTTGTGACAGCACCTAGAATGTACTGACACATTGCTTTCGTTATCAGAGAGCAGTTACAGTTTTTATTCAGTTGAAGAGGGAAAAACTATTTCCCAGAGTACTTTTCACTCTAGGCGAACAGATGAAAAAGAACATTTCTCTTCAGACTTTCGTATTGTTCGGTAAAGAAAGTGTTTGAACCAATGTACCTTCTGCCCATTTCTCAATTCTGGGATATTTAAGTGTGCGTTATTTTCGGTCATAACTTGGTCTCCATCAAGACCCCTGAGTATGATCTGTTTATAGCAGCGGCGTCGTGTGGCAGGCATCCTGCGCTCCGCCTGCCAGCACCCAAACCTCCGGTGCTGTGATGTCTTTGGTGGTGACGTCGCCCCGGGCTTGGAGCGGCACCACGTCGTTGAGGAGACTGGGACTGGTGGCGTTGATGACGTTGTTGTTGCTGTTGTTGTTGCTGTTGTTGCTGTTGTTGTTGTTGTTGTTGTTGTTGCTGCTGTTGTTGTTGTTGTTGTTGTTGGTGGTGATGTTGTTGCTGCTGCTGCTGCTGTTGCTGG